AAATTTATATAAAGCTTATTTCACAAGAGAAAATATATATTCATTCATTATAAAACTACGTTGTTTCAAAATTTATGTTTTCAGGCTACCTGCTTGACCCGGATATTTCTTCGGATACCTGCTTGGGTTCAACATCCGTCAATATAATGATCTCCAAGTACTTGTTCATCAAAAATCTTAAATCTGAAAATCTTTCACGACTCTCTTACAATGTACCTAAAAAAATAACCGTCGTATCCTTCCATTAATTACAATATTCGGGAAGGATAAGCTCTTCATACACATATACACACATACATTATGTCCTGATTTTCGTCTATTCAACTGTATAAATCATTAGGTTCCCCATGTCCAGATATAACGCAAGCAGAAATACGCGCGTTAATAAACGGATGTGTAAAGCGAATGGTATAAATTATGGCCTTTTTATCTCGCGCTGCCGCCATGCCGTTACGTGTACCCATCAGTCCGACAGGCCATTACATCTAGACAGCCGGGTAATGCTAAAGCAGCGCAACATGCAGACCGAGTGCGACACGACGCGACGTGCAGCGTGTTTTGAGCACGCTGCACGCGAATTGCGCATGTATCTCGGCGTAGATTTCACGTTGGGGCCGCATCACATTGTATCTGGGGCCTCACGTATTCCGCTCGCGATGTCCGCGTCCACGAGATACTCGTAAAGATTAACACGTAAATGTCTCGATTAACGCATAAACGTACGTAGATAGGCTCTACACAGTTGGAAAATTTATCTTGTTAAAAAATATGCCGGTTAAAATTTGTCTTAAATATTTAACGCGTTCATGTGTTAATTTTACATATTGCTCTGTTGTGTTAATTGAACTCAAATGTTAAATTATTAAAACCATTGAAAGAAAGTGTAAAAACAATGTGCACATATTTTTTAATTTTACACAATAGATACGTTTCACATTATTAATGACAGGATTTATCTGTTAAAATTTACAGAACAAAATTTTTATTTTATTGCATAATGGAAGTGAGAGTGACTACAGACCGTCAATAATTCTTTTCTAAGTTAATTTTATCATTAAAAATATATTGATTTTACAAAAAATTTATTTCAAATTACTATAAAGTTTGAAAATTTATTTTGTGTTAAATTTAAGCCAAATTTTCCAATTGTGTAGAAACTAATTTAAATGTCACGCAATTAATCAATTTAATTATTTCAAATTGTTAAGATTCTAAATTGCTATAAATAATAATAATAAATAAGAAATGAGATAAAATCTAATAAAATTTTTTGTATAAATTGGATGTTTAAAATATACATGACATATAATTTTATACAATATTAGAATGCATTAAACATTCTCATGCCGTGAAAGATTCATAATTCGCGTCTCGCGTTTCCCATCATCGTATTTAACAGTTAGTAAAAGATTTGTTTATAGTATACTTTACGACTAAAATACAACCACCCCAAAGCTTACGTTTACGCGGCGCGCGTTCCATAATCTGTGGCACCAATTAAACGCAATCCACGTCTGTTATTGTTATTCGACAAAGGGTCGTGCGCGGAGGGGGCCAGAGAAATCCAGACCTCTGAATCGTATAAACGGCACGACGTCTTTCTCCTTCTCTCTTTCTCTTTTCTGCTCGCACGAAACGATGGGGACGCGCTCCGATAAATTATTCATGACCTCACGACAAGTCGCGCTGCGTCCGAGACTTTTATATAAATTTTTATAGGTCGCGCAGAAAGCAAGGGGGTTACGTCTTCGACAACGACTTCCTCGTATCGATCGACCGATGCATTGTGTATATGTAATTTTTCTACATCAATAATTAATCTGCTATTAATAATTAATGTAAAAAACACAAAGTGGGTGCTCTCAGATACTTAGCTACAATATTATTTAAACCCAGCAATAGTTTTTAAAAAATCATGTTTTTTAATATATTATTAATATTTCTAAGTATAGGGAGATGATTCTCATGTTATAGATTGTTTTCCATGTATATATACACTGCTTGTAAAAGAAGATTATGAATATATTCTCTATAGCCTATGGAATGATCGAATAATAATCATATGTCATACACAGAAAAAAAAAGAGAGATGTAGTCTTCGAGTTAAACGACAGATGAGATCGGAAAAAAACGTATCGATGTATGTCAAGTATCTCCGGATCAAGTTTGCTTTGAAAATACGAGCGCTAGTCTCGATAAATATTCGGCAAGATTTAATAATAGCCAAGATGTGTATAAGTCTCGTTAATTTCCACAGAGATCGAATCTTAATCCTCTATTGCTCAAATAATTTCTCGGGCTAGAATCCTTATTAAAAAAAAAAAAAAGAAGAAGAAAAACACGATGACGTTACCATTTATACGCATTCAGTTTCTCGATCGTCGAATAACACGATCGCGATGCTCGAGGGATAGCACGTTCTCTCGTATACCGTGTGTCTCGAAAAACAGCATATAAGCGCACAAGCGAATAAATACGCGACCGCAACATTAAGTACGCCTAACCATGCGTCAAAATTATTACCATCGCGCTAATCACCACGCCTCGGGAGGAAATATATATCGCTCCTCGACACTCTCGTATTGCCCGATCCAAACTCTCGGGATTACGACCTCTGTCGTTGTTCGTGATTTGTACCGCTCCGAAGGCGGCCCGGCTCCGTTTAAAGCGAAAAAGAACGAGAGAGAGAGAGAGAGATGCGCAATGAACTGGCGAGGCTCTAATACATTGCCATAAACAAAGTGACCGAAGGGAATTGGACTAACTGGATCATTAAATGCCAGAGCCGCTCTATTTTGATATCGGATAGCGAAGTATCGGACACCCGGTATACGATGGAATCTCGCGCGCGAACGACGACGCGTCGAAGGATGTAAAAGCGCTAATGAAAGATACGATGTATGTAAAAACAGTCTACCCTTCATCCCGAATGTTTACTCAAGAACGACGTTGACGAAAGAATACAAACGTCTCGTGTTCGGTCACAATGAGAAACGGGAGAATGATACTTTTCTTTTACTTTTCGACGTCCTATTCATTCACGCATTGATGTATGGATATATTTAATCGTACGTATGAAAATATCGCGTGTTACGGATATTAAATAACGTTTGTAATATTATTACGCAATAAAGCCAAATGTATTAATAATATCAAATAACGTTGATAATATTATTTATATCCTTGTAACATTAAACAATATTGACAGCACTGATTAATAAAAAGAGTATCAACATGCAGCATATATAATACAAAAATGATATCAATAATACAAAATGATATCAATAATTCACTGACCACATTCGCGTAATAATTTTAATAATCGTTAATAAAAAATCAACAACAAATATTTTTGATCGCCAGTGGGAATAAATCAATGACATCATAAACTCGATTTACGATACAAATTTAATTCATTTACGACGAGAGCTATCGCTATTCGTATAAAACAAAAAAAAAAAAAGAAGAAGAAAAACACGATGACGTTACCATTTATACGCATTCAGTTTCTCGATCGTCGAATAACACGATCGCGATGCTCGAGGGATAGCACGTTCTCTCGTATACCGTGTGTCTCGAAAAACAGCATATAAGCGCACAAGCGAATAAATACGCGACCGCAACATTAAGTACGCCTAACCATGCGTCAAAATTATTACCATCGCGCTAATCACCACGCCTCGGGAGGAAATATATATCGCTCCTCGACACTCTCGTATTGCCCGATCCAAACTCTCGGGATTACGACCTCTGTCGTTGTTCGTGATTTGTACCGCTCCGAAGGCGGCCCGGCTCCGTTTAAAGCGAAAAAGAACGAGAGAGAGAGAGAGAGAGAGAGAGAGAGAGAGAGAGATGCGCAATGAACTGGCGAAGCTCTAATACATTGCCATAAACAAAGTGACCGAAGGGAATTGGACTAACTGGATCATTAAATGCCAGAGCCGCTCTATTTTGATATCGGATAGCGAAGTATCGGACACCCGGTATACGATGGAATCTCGCGCGCGAACGACGACGCGTCGAAGGATGTAAAAGCGCTAATGAAAGATACGATGTATGTAAAAACAGTCTACCCTTCATCCCGAATGTTTACTCAAGAACGACGTTGACGAAAGAATACAAACGTCTCGTGTTCGGTCACAATGAGAAACGGGAGAATGATACTTTTCTTTTACTTTTCGACGTCCTATTCATTCACGCATTGATGTATGGATATATTTAATCGTACGTATGAAAATATCGCGTGTTACGGATATTAAATAACGTTTGTAATATTATTACGCAATAAAGCCAAATGTATTAATAATATCAAATAACGTTGATAATATTATTTATATCCTTGTAACATTAAACAATATTGACAGCACTGATTAATAAAAAGAGTATCAACATGCAGCATATATAATACAAAAATGATATCAATAATACAAAATGATATCAATAATTCACTGACCACATTCGCGTAATAATTTTAATAATCGTTAATAAAAAATCAACAACAAATATTTTTGATCGCCAGTGGGAATAAATCAATGACATCATAAACTCGATTTACGATACAAATTTAATTCATTTACGACGAGAGCTATCGCTATTCGTATAAAACATAATATATTAATCGAAAAAAAGCATTGACGCGAAATGCGATAATAGTTATTATCGCAAAGCACTTTACACATATTTGAAATTTAAACGTATAAGTCGCCGCGGCAACCTTCAGACTGTACCACGCGGTCGTTCGCGCGCTTTTTATCTCCCAAAGAAACAACAAATCACGACCATCATATAGATATGCGGAATTTCAGGAAGACGCGAATCCATCGCGAATTATACACACGCGACGAGCACACCGGTATTTAATCAATCGCGATCGAAAATCCCAAGACGCGAGAAGAGAAACCGGCGAGATAAATCCCGTCCTATACACAATGGCCGCGCTAATGATCGGTCGCGTTGCCGGATCGATGCACGTTATGCATTACACATTACTCGTTACTCACCGACTTCGCGAAGAGAGAAAGCTCAATTAGCAATCCTGCAGCTCCATAGCGACGTTGATCCTCGACGCACGACTGAGTCCCGTGTCAAGCCCTGCGAACCGGTACTTGATGCACGAACCATGAAAAAACGCGATGTAGTATCACTGCAACTTCGCGACGCGCTAAATATCCATGGAAATGTCCATCCGTTGAAATCCGACGACGCGATCACACTGACTGAGCGATAATAGACGCGACACTTGTTAGGGAATCGACACGACGCGCCTAACTCTTGTTTGTTTACGTGCGTACGCGAGCGCGAAAAAAGCGAAACCGAATCTCACGTTCAAAGGGCTGGCAGCCAAACGCCGACTGAGAGCATGAGACGCGTACGATGTAGCTCCACGCGTCTCTCTCCAACACTCCCGCGGCGGAGTAGGGGAAGCCGGTTTTGAGGTTCGCGCAGTCGCCGCTAAGTTGGCGCCAGTCGACGCGCGACGGCTTGAAAAAATATAGGGTGAGACGCTTATATATATATGCTATTCTAGAAGTTTAATTCTTCTGGATAGAAATTTAAAAGAAACAAACTAATGGACTGGAAAGCAAAAAAAGGCAATGTCGTGCATTATTCATGTTAGGATAAATCGATAGAACAGTGGCAAGAATAATATTTCGCTGTATCTTAACTACTCTCTGTATGAGAAATACAGAAAATAATACAATAGAATAGAGATAAAAGAAGCAAAATATCGGAAAATTAATAGAGAAAAAATAATAAACAATACATTTTTTAAAACAATATCTTTAATACTCTTTCCTGTGGATATATAAATTTTCATATTTTAAACTTTTAATTTAAAGCTAAAAACAAAATGATATGTCAGTTTTGATATCTTTTTATAAACAATTAATAATATAGCAAATTTTACTATAAATATTATAAAATTATTATTGCTCACAAATAAAATATAATGAGAATAAATTTTACATTATAAGCTTAAAGCGAAATATATAATCCTTTTCGGATCGTAATTCAAAATTTATTAGCAATAAAACATTTCACGACTATAACACTAGGATACCGTTACCTTTCAGATATCGAAGAAACAAGAAGAACTCATTCTCTCGCACATCTTTTATTAACAAAAAATAATACTTTTTATTAAATATTCTCGTCACTCAAAGTTCCATTTACTCCGCGGGTAACCTCACGCGAAATAATCGTAAATAATTTCTAATGTATACATACGTGGAGCATACCGTTAGAAATTTCCTGCGGGTACACGGAGAAACCTGAAGTACATATGCTGAAGAAGTAATCGTCGTCGAGCGACAGAAAAGACCCCTTGAAGCCCGATTCAAGAGTACAACTGAGATCCTGCTCTCTTAGTCGTCCGTACCATATTAAGAGAGCTCGCCTTATTAACACGATGCCGGGAATTGACATCTGCTCCTTACTTTGTTGCAAAAGTATTCCGCACAGAAATATACATTGTGTTACAAAATGGATAATTTCTGAATTAATCTTGCATTGTTTGGATTATCTCTGAAAGTACGCACAGAAATATTATGAGGAATTCTGATATCTTAATGTTTGTTATGTTAAGCCATAAATTTCTTCGAGCGTACTTCAGAAAGCAACATTTGCAGGGAATATAGAGTCAAGTTGCACATTCTAGCAGAAGGAAATGCATCTCTCGCATGCTTTATATAATTAATCAGAGATAATTAAACGGGAGCTCTCTTCGGTACAAGTTTCACATATCTGTTAATAATTATAAAGAACAAAATTATATATGAAATTCTTATAATTTATCTAATGAAAAATCTAATGATATATAATAAAATATCTAATGAAAATAAATAATGAAAAATGATGTGAAAAAGATAGCTCTGTTAAAATTAAGAAAAAGAAAATAATAGAGTATACAAAAATACATAAAAATAAAAAGATTTAAAAATAGAAAAATTATTTTATAATAAAAAGAAATTTTTTTTTTCTTTGCTTGAGGTTTTGGAATCTATGATTGGATTTAATGGGAAAATTTATTAGAAATCAAATATCGGAGGACCGAAGGAATTCATCCGAAATTGATGATATATAAAAAAGAAGATATCTTGAAATACATAACGCTATTAACACTTTTTTATTCCTTCATTCGTGACCGTCACGCGGAAAATTGCTCCTCGACCGATCTCGTGTTCAGAGCATTCTCTGCCATCTTCTTGCCGCCGATAAACAGGAGCGAGATAAGCGACCAAGGGATAAGGGACCTGTCATCCGTGACGGAGTACGTCCCGTTCCAAGGCTCGCTTCAAGGACGATAACCCTCCGCGAACTGGAGTCGGCTCAGACTGGATCCGATCGAGAGAGAGGAAGAGAACGAACGAGCAAGCGAGTCTTCCTTCTCTCTCATCTCTCTGTATCTTTCCTCGTCCTTCTTCCCGATCTCGTCCTTATGTGCGTCTTATTTCGTGAACAGGATGATTACGCGTTTACGATCTAGGGCTCCCCGCGCTACCTGCTCCCGCTCCGCGAGGAGTCGAAGGTGAATATATATTATCGGGAGAAGTTCCTGCGAAGGCACTTCACATAACGTAGCCGCTCTCGCGTGAGCTACCTCGGAGGCAAAGACGAGAGAGGAGAGTTCAAGGACGAAGAAGGAGAATCGGAGAGCAGCACTTTTACTATACGAAAGGTTGCGTGGGGGGTCGATGCGCGCACACACGCACACTTTGGTGCGATTGTGTGAAGAACGATTGTAGGAAGAACGTGGCCGTGTAGTGGAGGAGCGGTTTCGGGTCGGCATAATCCGAATTCGAAACCTGTTTCTGCCCCGTGGGTCAACAACAACATCCTCCTACATCCTACCTTTCCCCCGCGCTTCCCTCGATCCGCCCCCTCCGATCACGGGGCCCCGACCAGATGCACGAGCCACTTCCACCGAGAAGCCGCGTATAAACTCCGGTGTCAAGTGCTCGGTGGGCCGGTGGTTACGTTATTTTCCCCGAGTTTTATGACTCTATCCCGCATACCGAGTGCCGTCCGAAACGCTGCAAATTTTAGCTCAAGCGGGAAGTGTTGCATAAAGGTGTGAATGCACCGAGATGACTCGCAGATATGTTTACGTTGACCCTAAGAACGCGTTCACGATCTACGATTTTTTTTACGAGATGCGGTAGGTCTCTAAAATAAACGGAAATGATTTTGACAGATATTTTTTTATCACACACAAAAAAAATTCTCTATATTTCAAAATATTCTATACGTAAAAAAAAAATACCTTTTCTTTCTAAAAGATTAAACATTTTTTCAAAATTTTAAAATGATATTAATAAAAGAAAATAAAAAAATGTATTTTACACTTTTTGCACCCATTTTACACTCAAAAAAGTGGTATTGCAACTACAGCAAAAATTTTCTGGGTGCGCAAAATTAACTGAGGTACATAAATGATTAGCAAATACTGTGATATCGCATATGTTTCGCATTTAATCAATCTAAGTGACAGAGACAGAATTTATATCTGAACTGTTTGTGAAATTTAGAAAGAATGTTTTTCTGTGGCGCCTATCCATGTTAAGGCCAATCATACTTGTTATACAGTTTTGCTGTGGTACACAGAAAAAATTAGCGGCAAGAAACAAATGAATATATAATCCTCACGTCTAACATATTTGTATAACGCGCTCAATCTATCTAGCTCTTTTAAACAATTTCTCTCAATTTTTCGATGTTGCAGTTATAATTGGCAGTTATATTTCTCACAAAGATCGTTCTAGCTGTAGTATCGAAACTCATATTTATCCAATGCAGTGATTAACATTTGGCAATGGGACCTAAATTTTCTAGAAGATATTATTAGAATATTGCTGCTATAAATTCTATATGTAACAGACAATATTCTAACAGATACAAAAAATAGCGATAAATTTTTGTTGTGTCACCTAGAAATCTACCTATATCAGCAAGACATTTTTTTGAGTGTAAAACACACGCACGTAACTCAGCGGTTGAAATTTCGCAAGATTAAAAAGTGCACTAGATGCAACGCAGTTAGTCTACTTTCTCTCCAGGCGTAAATTACAAGCACGTCCCGCGGGATGCAGTTTGTACATGTTCTGCGTGCTGAAATTTACTCCGCGACGAATCAATTAGTAGCTCCCTTACGTGTAATTATTCGGATTTAAAGGGAACTCTCGCGTACAAGTTGGCGTTCGACAGCCTTGTCTATATCATGCTCCACAAGAGGTATTGTAATTTCCATCACGAATATATTCTATATAATTTAAAGTACTATAATGGCATATTAAATCGTTTTATTGCAATTTTTCAACTTGCCTTTCATTCGACTAACTTTCTACATTCGCGTAATGTACGTTGATTACTGATCAGCATTTACAGTCGATTGGAGAGATGCGTTTTTATGCATTCCGTCGCAAATCCCTTGTTCAATTTCTACAATTCAATGCACGGAGTCCGAGATGCGAGCGAATTCTTTGAGAGACTTTTAACGGAAAATTGCGCTTTGGTAACCAAAGGAGAGAAGATCGAGTAGATCTATTATTTATTTTATTTACAATATACGGTCGTTAATGGGCAATGAAATTTTAGAACAAAAGCGAGGGACAAAGCGCTGCTTCAAACATCTTGTCGAGTATCATTCAAATAATGCGGGTCGTTGTTCGCGTATCGGGCTTTTAATTCGCCAACGGTAATAATCGTGAGAAAAAAAAAACTCTTTATGTCACATTTTTAAATTATCAAAATAAAATTATATATAATAATCACTATCGTATATACACACACAAATTCTTGAAAAATAAATGAGAAAATAAAAGAAAGATGTAAAAATATTATTTAAAAAACCGTTTAATATAGAAAATAATTAAAATGTATGGATAATAATAATAAATAAATAGATGATAATTTTTTAATATAGAAAAAGAAAGATATGGTGTAATTTTGTTTAAAAACTTTAAAGATATTTATGCGAATAGATATATATACATATATATGAAAATTTATCGGACAAAAACGAACTCACTGAAACGCAAAATTCACGCGATAAAAGCTTATCGTATACGATGCACTGTGTGTTCATAAGAGATAATACCTCTTACTTAATTGCTCTCACACAATGCACATAGATTCTATTACATAACAGTAACATCATAAATAAAGAGCTGATTGTGAGACCAAAGGGTCCAGAGCTGGTCGTGGACAATTAGTAAGCGAAATAAAACGCATTGCAGGTGCGATTATTCCAAAGTTCTCTTCCACGTCGTTTTGCCAATGTGTATCTCAAAGACCGGCGGTCATAATTGCGCTTCTCGTATTAAGCATCTCGCTGTGAGAGATGACCTTATGGCCTTTTATCGGTGAACCAAACTCCGTTCTGACACATACACGTAACGAACGTCGACTAATGTATACATGCGACCACACTGTCGGCAATAAACGACATAATATGTGGATAAACTTACTAGTAATAATAATTTTATTTCACGATTTTAATATGATTTTTTTCTAATTCTTCTAATTTCTATAATTCTATATAGATTGAATAAAATAATTTTAAAAAGACCGAGAAAACAAAAGATTGATACAGAAAATCAAAGAATGAGAAATCCCGTATGCTGTATTAAATTTCGCTTTAATAAACAATCAATCTGCGTCATCCTTATCTCTGAATAATTCTGATATGTTAAAGCGATTGAATGAAGATGGATAGACAGATGGGTAGATAGACAAAGCGATGTCATATTAATGTACAACAGTGCACTCAAACTTGATTGAAGGTAACTGCTAGCGGTATCAGAAATGCAAAATGATTAGCTTAATCTTACGGCCAATTCAGGAATATCGTGCATGTCGGAGACAGCTCCGTAATGAAGATTAATATTGTTAGAGCTTCGGCGCGAAGTATCTTCGGAATCTATTAGGCTCGGCAAGATGTGCGGATAAAGCCCACACCCGAGGTTCTCTGTCTGAGAACCGACAAAAAAAACTGACGAGGGGGAGAGAGAAAGAGACAGAAATAATTACAGAGAAGGCCGTGTCCCGCAAGGTCGAAGACGGTGGAAAAGGAACCAATATATAATAACGTTTTCAGTATTTCAGTAAAAGTAGTCCAAACATGAAATTGAACAATCGGAACAGTTAAGGCGCCTGCCCGTAATCTCCGAACAAAGGATCTCTCGTTCGAGAAATCTGGCTCACCAACTCGATAAATTTCTTAAAGTAGTAGTTTCTAAATTTTATCGCAATGTGATTTGAAGCCAAGTATCTTTTTTCAGAGGAGTTACCATGATTTGATGAAAGATGATTTTGCGACATTTGCCCTGTGTGACTTAGCATCATTTCACGGTTATTATTTTATCTCCGTAAGAGAACATCGGCTACATATAAACATTTGTAATAGATTTTCTCCAATAACGAATGCTTTTTTACACAGCTAATTGAGCCAATTTTACAAATTGAGAGTATGTGTAATTCATCGAGATAGGTTTTTTTCTTAAAGAAGATGAAGCGCAAAATGAGAATAACAGCGCACGTGTTAGCGAGATGATGCAGCTCGCAAAAGGACTACGGATAAGGAGGCTGTGAGATAAAAATATCGATAGTGATGGATGGGTAAGCGATTAGAGTCCCCGTCATTGGAAGTAATTCTCTTGAGCCTTCGTTTTACGTCGAATAAGAAAGGGGTAAAGACAAATTTCGTACTCTTGCAGATTGATCGCCGATAATGATAATCTTACTCATCATCTCGTAACGTCATGCATGTATATAGTAAAAAAGCGTAAAAAAAAGTATTCATAAAAAATATATTAAAAGGATACATTAAGTACTCGATGAATGATGATTTAAGCGTGCACTTTATTTTGAAATTTTTTATGAATTCAATAAATTTAAATCCATAATGCACAATTGCATAAAAAGATTATTTTTTTATATCATTAATTAATTCTCACGATATTAATTTTTGTCAGCTATTTTTTCCACGGATATAAAAAGAATAAACCTCCAGCGATATTATCGTATCCTATATTTATCAAATAATTATTACTTACAGCGCTATTAGCTACCATTTGATCGAGCGTGCAAGTGATGTAATATTATAGTGCGAGTGCGCGTATTAGATAATATCTATTAATTGCCAATTACGTTAATCGTTCAAAAAATCTACAGAAGACTGTGCAACCTGGAGCGTTATAATTTTATCATGAGACGCGGGCGAGAAAGAAAGAAAAAAAAAACGAATGCGCACTCTCAACCGCGGCAAGCGGAAAAATGCTGACGTCTATCCGAAATAAATCACTTCTTCTTACGACCGCCTGCGTCCGATCCTCTTACGTTCATCTCTAATCGGCTTCACGACGCGCATCTCGTTACCTTGCGTTGCGACCCACGACGTTTAGAACGATTAGGGCGCAGCAACCATGTGAAGATGATAAAAAAAGGAACACCGTGTAGCGAGATTTCCAAGTTCAAGTCGGGAGGGATTGGAACCGGTATAAGTTCGGTATCTGCAGAGATTCCCGTGTGTGATATAGAGCCCGCAAAAAAAATTGTATCTATATTTATCACGTGTCAATCGACACGTGACAAATTCGGACAAGGTCGAGAGACCGGATGATACGATCATTCATAAATAACACCCACATTTGTATCACTTTAATGAATATTTGTCGAATAAATCCCACCTTTTTTCAAATAAACGCAGCTACATTTTTTTAATTATTAACGTAGCATTTCAAGCTCGCCGATCTTATATTGATTTTATATTTTCGATCCTTAATTCAAGCTGACGAAACGGTAATTTACCGTACAACCATGTAATCGTTGAACACGCGTGAGATACGTGCTCGCGTGAGATTCGTTGGCCGACACCGTGGAAAAGTTGTTCTTTTTGCGGCGCGAGAAAAGTATAACGAGAGCTCGTATATCAAACGGTCGCACGATTTTAAATCGCCGAGATCGTCCTACGGAATTATAGTGGTCCGAAAAGGTGTTGCGATAAATTTCATCGACGAACATAGCGGTCTTCCGCGTCGCGATCGTTTGTGAAATTCAGGAGAAATTTGATACACGCTATTTATCTCGATTTGACACCTCGCGTGTTATTAGTTTAGCCACATCTGATCAAGGAGATGATTGATCGCGACGGATTGCGATGGTTGAAGGACTTTCCAAAAAATGTTATTGTATTAGGCTTTGATGAAAAAATGATGTCTCAACTAAAAAAAAATAACGCGCAATTATTATATTCATATAATACCATTAAATGTACTAAATAATAAAATATTATAATTGAAATATTATCTAATTATAAACTAAAAATAATATTTAATTTTAACATTATTATAAATAAACATTGTAATAAAATAAAAAACTATAATAACATTATTTGCAATAATATTAAAATTATTGAATATTATAAATTTAAAAATATAATATTCAATTCTATTTTTAGATATGAAACTTTTTTTCATTTTTATGTGCCCTCTTATCGCTGTTGATAATAATTATTGTCATAAGGTGCCTCTTTTCTTATTTTTTAACGTCTCCCTTTGTTTTTACTATCAATAGCAGTTCGTATGTAGCATCGTGACGTTATCCAAGGATATCAAGACGATTTTCCTTCTAGGCTTGATTCACGTTTCTTCGGTCGAGAGTCGAGACTATCGGTGCGTCGTGTGACACGTACAATATATAACTACAGTAACTTCGATAACATCATGCACGAGAATGCCTGTGTATATAAGTGCCGAGAAACGGCGAGGCGCACGACAGAACGTTAGCGGCGCTAGTGCAATATGCGTTGCTGAATCGCCAGTGCCTTTAGTTAAGAAATAAGGTGTGTACGCTACCTAACCGGATTCTTCATTGCGGTTCTCCTTCAGTGCGACGACTGCGGGAAAGCGCGGCTCTATTTTCTCGTGTACACACTTATCTCGCCAATCGAGGATTGACAGAGATCTAGAGAGGAACGCGAGTGAAAATGGCGAGGCAAATCAATCACGTCATACTAATTGGCACACTGTTGATCAGGTCAGTTTACTATAGTTTTATGATTTCTAAAGTGATATTAATAATTGCTAGCAATTTTATTTGGCTGATACTTCGATATATCAAAAATTGACAATTGTAAGCCTTAATAAGGTAAACTCTGCTTTACCGGCGACGCACATAGTAAGCGTGTCAACACCGATGTAATAACAGCATTGAACTATTTATATCATTATATGCGCTTTCACGCACGATGGACGCGTTGAATCATCGCGTTACATAGGTGTACTATTGTTATGTACATGAATAGATAAAGCGTATAATTGGTCGTTTATCTGGTAATTCTGTCTCACGAATTTATGTTGCAGTGCATGTGTCATTGAGGGGGCAAGCGTTGCAACTTGGGTTAACGATTTTACGGGCACTCTTAATCGTAATCTCAATGACATGATTCAACAAATTAATGCACAGGTGGCATATTTGACCGACAGTATTCAAAAAAATGTTGAAGAAACAATTCAGAATCTACCAAAAGGTAATCAAGATACTTCATAATGCATTGTTGATTGGTGTCTATTTAATACAAAAGTTTGAGAGCACGTCATTATAAAATAAAAATCAAATAATTATATTAACGTCGTTCAACTCTCACTTGATTTATATAAATGATAGATAACTTAAAATAATAATTAAATATCTTTACACCGTGTTTATTCAATCAAATCTAATAAATGTAAGCGTAATCAATCTCTCGACTCAATATTGCATTACGAAATTAATTATTTTTCTATTATGTTATCTTTTAATTTTTAATATCTTGAATTCAGTTTAATATTATTTTATTTAATAATATTTTCAAGCGTCTGTAAATTTGTTTGATCTTAGTTATCTTTTCGGAAAATCCCGGAGAGCATCGATATTTTAATGTAATATGTGAATATATACAATCTCTCTTTCCTGTCACGCAAGCGGAAGAGAGGTCGACGAGTCTGTATAATAGTTTGTATGTGAATCATGCTAGCAGTTCTTCATCGTTAAGAAAAAGATAAAGCGAGATAAATGAGATGCGGAGGATTGCATCAAAAATCGCGTCTCATTCGCTGTGTATTCGTTCCTTTCACTAGCGACCAACATAATACGGACATAAACACTTGCATTCTCTTTCAAGTCTCGAGACAGCTGGAATTTTTTTTCTCTACTTGATCTGTTCGTTAATTCGATACTGACGTTTAATTCCGCGCGGAACCTTAACCTATGCATTAATGTGTATAGCTTTACTCTGGAGTATATCGAATCGCGTGATCAACGATTAGTATCGGTAAAAATTAAATTTTCCTTACCCGTTTGAAAACAAGCACCGACAATATTGATGACGTTGTAATTTAAGCAATTAATTGATGAAATGAAGGTAACGTACAAGCTGTCTCAGAACTTTACGTTGGCTGATTCAAATATAATTTTACTTATTATGTCAGGTACCACCATTTATCCAAAATTCGCTGAGCATCTTATAAATGTCAACGTATTTTTGAAATATATGCTTATATGAGCTTCTCAGACGTCGAATTTTTATAAATTTCTTGATTTACCAAAACACAATCATGTATGAATCATACATTGATCAATTTAGCTTCTGAGAGGCTCATACATGTGTCACGAATAAGCAATTATTAGTCATTTAATCTGTTGATACACAGACACCACGTGATATTTATGCAGTTGTCTTTATAATCGATGTGACGAAAAAAAAAATGTATGGGCCAAAATTTGTTCGCAGATGCACAAGGAAATATAATCACTAATGGCAGCAGTATTATAAGCATTAATAATGGCAACAAAATTATAACCATAGTTGATGGTGTATCAAGAACGATCACGAGCGGTCGCACACCAAATGGAGAACCATATGTACGCGATGTCGAGGAGAAACGCATAGGAGATATGCTTTATCACAATGAAACTACTTGGAATCCAGAAACTGGTGCCTCCAAAACGATTGCCTGGAAGTTGAACCTCGCGATTCCAGGTGCCAAGCCGGAAATTATTACGAACACAAAGCCGGATGAAAAATAAAGCGATGTGTTTTTTGTGTGTGTATCTTCACATCTTACATTTTATTACATAAAATTCATTTTTCGATTATATATATAAACCTTATTTTAAATAAATTATGCTAGTTGTAAGTCAATAAAAGATCACATTATAGTGCTGTGAAAAATTGATAGATAGCAATATAAAAATTAAGAAAAGATACAAGTATGTAGTCGAGAGATTAGACGATTTGCAAAAATATATTATGATTCATAATAAATTCCTAGGATCCCTGTGTCATTGAATTTTTATCCATTCCGGAATTCCGTACAATGTTAAAGAAATATTTTTTCTTCGTAATCTGAATATTNAGTGTAATTACGCTGCAATAGATTTGATAAGTCTACAATTTTGCACATTTCTCGGAATATCGTTATCTGCGAGTCCGGTGAGAACGCAAACCGATCGTAAAATACGACAGTAAAATCATGAGTTATACGTGAAAAGCCATACAATTATCGTGTTGCATGAACCGACAAAGTGAGCATGGCAAATTTTTAATAATGATCTTGCAAGAGACTTTGAATAATAAATCAACTTTCAATTAAAATATGCGCTGACATTATCGGCTACGCGATATGGATATTTGCTTGATACGCGTTTGTTGCGTCGCGGTTTCGAATATTATGTATATTCAGCTGAATAAGCATTCGCGTTAATAAAGAATTTCCTATATTGTGTAGAAAATTTATTGTAATATTGTGAATAAATAAGCACTATAAACAATTCTTCTCAATTAATGTAAAAACTTGCTAGTATTTTTACCTGCACTTTTTGATCAAATTAATTATTACTAAACTCGATGAACGATATAATTGGCTACTTTTCATTCCACACAAAATGATAATATAAAATGTTTTTTCGAGAAAATCTTTGTACTAATATTAAAACACATTGCATACATAAATTGTTGTATGTATATTTAATATATACAGAAACCTATCATATTTAAGCAATATATCATATCAAGTATCAAAGGATTGAATAAGGCACGCGCCAAAGAAAAAGGATAAATAAAAAACGGGAAATATAAATTTGCACGAGAAAGAGTTTTGACCAATAAAGAATCATTTGTTACGATATACGGCTACGAAATTTTAAAAGTGGAGAAAGGGGGAAGGATTCGTGGTTTCGACGCATATACAAAATGTGTACACGTACGAGATACAAACGCGACGTACATATATATTATAACGTCACAATGGCGTCGAGAAATTCTCTGAATCACAATAAAAATATCGTTATCAGCGCTGTCATATTCATAAATGCATTATCTGTAACAATAAAGTTGTTTATATTTATCATGTTTGCATTTTTGATATTTTTATAATCGTCTGACGAAGAATGCTTCATTTCGCACCGCGTGAGACTTTATTATCATATTTATACAAGTTTTTAACGTGCTCGTAAAAGTCGTATTAAAGACTACAAAACCATCGCATTATTCATTTTCGCGTTCTGTCGTAAAGCAACGCCCATCACGAAACAATTTTTGTGACTTTGTTTTCATACAGATGAACGCGTTAAGTTTGCAAAATGTCTCATAATACAGAGAGATTTAATTTGCATAACTAGAAGAGTAGAAAATTGCAAATAAATTTAAAAAAAAAAAAAAAATTATAAAAAAATATGCACAACTATACACGTTTGCTTGTAAATGCGAAAGAGATTTCGATAACTTTACACAGCTCGTTGTTGAATATGAGCTTTCAGCGAGAGTAAACACGCACGCTTTCTTTCCACTTTCCCCTCTTTCGTTTCTACGCCATTGCCGGTATATTTACATGCATACAAAGGGATACGTAATACGAGACTCCCTTCGCGCCTCTTGAGAAGGGATACTCCCACATTGGTTTGGATACGAGATCGTTCGGTCGACCTTTTTTTCTCTTTTAATGCATGTGGGACCATTGTCTACGTGACCATGACCACAAAACACGTGGGTGTAAAATAGTAAGAATCACCAAACATCAGCTTGGCACTTAAAATTTGATTATTGCATAGTATATATCGATATATGTATTGTTCGATGCCTTAACTCTTTCTTATGTGTTGTAAAAAATATAGGAGTTCTATATGACAATAGATAGATTAGAATAAAAATTGAAAAATCTGAAAACGGTGATGCAAGAATAATATCGATCTATTTCTCTCTTTCTGTATATTCAGAGAAGAAGTATTTCGAGAGATTTATGTAACACTTTACATTGCTATTTTAAAATGTATATTGTATTTTTCAAATATCGAATATTATTTATCTCGTCTGTGAAAATATAAATAAATGATAAATCGTATGATTCGCGTTTTACTCCATCGAGAAATGGAACGACCGATGTTGCATTTAAGTAATTTCCCCACGATTGGACGACGCGCAAGTTTTTTCAGGCGATGCACGAGATAAATTATTTTTTCCGTCTGTATATCGGTATGTATGTGCTTTCCGCAAGCACGTCTTTTCCGAAGCAGAAACCGCATTTTCAATCGAACTGAGTGCTGCTTTCGAATAATCGGCGAGTAGCGAATAAGAATCGCGAGATGGAAAAGTCGTTGTCCGAATAAAAGGAAGCTTGCAGGGATTCCGTGCCTATTCCGTGCCTTTTCGGTGCGCTCGTAAAGTTGAAGTTTCGCGATAAGTCATTAAAATGCATGACTCTCGCGGGACGAAAAACTCGGCGAGATGAGATCTCTACGACGGGAGCGTCTCGTTAGGCCGCTAATTTGTCAGGGACGGTGACACGGGGTCCCCGAAATACATCGTTACAGATGGTAATCGTCGAAAGGCCGCAGGAGAGGTCGTCTCGCGCGGTAAACGGAAGCGTCGAGATGGGAGGAGGAGTAGAATTCCGCGCGAGACGGTGGAATCCTGATTTACGAATGGAAAAGAAAGCCAGAGAAAAAAAAAGTTCTTTCCGCGGAGAAAGAGAGGGTTTCCTGGAAGAAGCAACGTTTGAAATATGGATTTCCTCATCAATATGGACGCCGCAGAAATTGCCGCAGCTTCGCGCTCATCCTTCAAATACATGCATGGCAAAATACAAAGATGATCATTTCGCAATAATTTTCGATCGTAAATAAAAATCTTTTTATTCTAACATATAAAATAAAATGAGATAGTCTTACTTTAATATATTGAATTTCATCTTTTGTCTGCCGCAGAGAATGTAGAAATAATTTTATGATATAATATTATTTAAATAAAATCTTTTAAATGGTATCAAAAATCTCGACGAAAAATAAAAGTTATCAGAGAGATCCATTTACTAGTGGAAGAATTTTGTACTAATTCAATTATTTTTTATTATTACGATTACGCAACGATAATGACTCGGATGACGTTTTTATTCCACGAGAGCTTTTACATCGAAGTGCCTTGATAGCAGTGCTAATTACTGCAAAGATACGGTAAGGATATTTATGTGCGCTTCATGCGCTCACACACACGCGCATTTGCCATCGCGAATGCAAGCTGACTCGGTCTCCGAAGTAATAATAGCGTGCACGAGATCGTCCCTTTTTTTGGTTCTTTTTTTATCCCTCTCTTTGCATCTTTGCTCCAGATGCGATTTTTTCAGAATTTCACTGACTCCATTTCTATAGAAATTTTTATTTTATATGTCACTTCTGTGTGTAACGCTACGAAGCGCAGCGGTTTGCATGAACGTGCGATTCGTAACTCTTTGAAAATTATGCAGCGCATTACCGTTTTGACATTTCGTTACTTTACGAGGATGCAACCTCGGCGCTCCTTTTCATTTCTATTTCTTTTTTTTTCTTTGTCTTTCTCCTTCGTCGCTTTTTGGATCGCGCGCGAATGCATTTCACCGACGAGAAGATTGGGCTCAAGGTAAGATTGTAAGAAGCTTAATTCGAGAAAGTTTGATTCTCTCGACATGCTATAAATACGAAATAATATAGTTTATGTCGATTGTGATAAATAAACACGATTGTTACTAATAAATATCACATAATTATCATTCTCATTGCGATTACAATCTGATTTTTGTACGTCAAACTGTCAAAACTTGAATTATCCTAAAATTAATTAGAGATTTAAATCTCGTCTCCATTTGCTCGTAAATTATAAATTTTAATGTAAATCTAATTTAATATACGCGAAATATCGTGCTTTTCTCAAAATTTATTAAATTTATAATTTTTATATTTTAATTACTGTGATGAAATGGACTATGTTGCACTAAATCCGCAACAACTTTTTTCAGTATACAATACGTGATGGATAACGTAAAATATTAAAAAAATCAAATTGTTTCCGAGCGATATTCCAACGCAGGCTTGCTTTAAAATTCGGAATCGATCGACGAAGCAGGGTCGTTCTGCCGCGGCATTTGTGAGAAAAAATAATATACGAATGTCGCTTTGTTGCAAATTTGCCGGCGCTTATTGGTCGCGGCGTGTGCATCTGATAATCGCTACAGATATTTCTCCCGGCGCTCATTAACGCCATCGTTATTATCGATGCTGCGGTCGTATTTTTCGCAATTTTATCATTGCCCGCCTACAGACTTTATGGTGTCGTAATGTAACGGCCCTTCGGAAAACAAGCGTACCGACGAAAAAACCCCACAGGTAATAACCCGATATGCTTCTCCAATTTCGAGAGATTCTGTCGCGATCACCAGAGATCGGAGTTTCACTCCGCCGTGCGCGGCTTACCAACTTAATTTCTACTTTATATACCAATTATGTGCCATTTCAAAGCGCACGATTTCAAAAGCGCGACACCGTCGTTTACCTCGTAACTCGTCGCAAATTATAGTCGACAGTATCGCGCTTCGACGTTTCGTTAATTTACAAGGCAATATATCCACATTTTCGCCTCTTTTTGCCGCCTATGGGCGCTTCGTTTACTACTTTTTCGAAGCGTGACAAGGGTAGTTTTTGTGTCATTAAGTACTAATAAGGATGATACGCCACCGGAATACGAATTTGCTCTCTAATGTTTAGGACGTGACCAGAAAATATATTAGCTTCAAAATACGTGAAAAAAATCTGCTAATTCGAGATTAATAATTATTTTATTACATTTATAATTATATCGCTCGCAATTTTACAATTCATGATTATCGTTTAATAAATACATATATGTTTAAGAAAGATTAGATTGTAAATTATAGTTGAACAATTCCGCTAATAATTGCGTTGCGAAATGAATTAAGAAGCAAACAAAGAGAGAGAGAAAGAGAGAAAAGTCTGCCTCAA